ACATGTCACGTGACGTGACGAGTTTGACACCTGTGCTCTAGCTGGTTACACCCAAGGGAACACTGCAACAGTCTCATTGATCCTTAATAGCACAAACTCTGCGAAAGAGGTTGCAGTATTGTCTGTCAGGACCAAATGTTTTACAGAATAGTTCTGCTTTTGCTAACATTTTTGAGATTACACATCACTCACCTTGCCAAAACATACATTTATGTCTAGGTATTCTAGTGGATTTGCTGCTAGCTGAAAAACCACATCCAAAGGATACTCATAAATCATCCAGAGTCACTTTGGATAATGATATGGGCAGCATATAGATTTAATAAACAGACATTCAGATAGTTTTTCTAAGGAGAGGTATGGGATCTCCTTTGGCCCAGTGTTATTCAACATGTGAATAAAGAATCTGGAAGAAAGTAACAAATTCACAGATGGCATTAAACCAAAGAAATTGGGAAATACTTAAGATAAAATCACAAGTCACATTGACCTAAACAAGTTTTTGACATTGGGTCACATTTAGTAGGAGTAATTTAGGGCTGCTGCAATGATGATGGCCTACTTCTGATTTAGAAAAAATCAAATGTACATCTGAAAGACTGGGGAGACCTGGTTTGGTTTTAACGCATGTGAAAGGAGTCTAAGTGGGCTACCAACTGAAAGTGAGCAAGGCTGGTATACAACGTGTTGTAAGAGGATCATGCGTTGTCAGGCTATATCCAGATCAGAGACGCTAGAGGTCCATTATTCTTTTCATCGCCTAGGGTAGGCAACCTTGGCTCTTTTATGACTCGTGGACTTCAACTCCCAGAATTCCTGAGCCAGCCATGCTGAGGGGAAGGGAGAGGTTTCCAAGCTGAGCCATGCTGGCTCAGGAATTCTGGGAGTTGAAGTCCACGAGTCATAAAAGAGCCAAGGTTGCCTACCTCTGGCTAGACCAGGGGTAGGCAATCTTGGCTCTTTTATGACTCGTGGACTTCAACTCCCAGAATTCCTGAGCCAGCTAGTATAATTACCTTGTGAATATTCATTTATGTTGTAATTTTTAGTACTGTTTCTCTCTTAACTGAACTGCAGGGTTTTTTTGGGGAGAAAGAATTGGTCCAATTCCAATTTATGTAAGTTATATAAGTACCTACATGGAGCAGTTAGATAACTTGGACAGAGTCTGTAATTACTTTAACCAGGTTATAATAAAAATTCAAAGCCTGAAAGGATAAATGTGTAACTAAAATTATGCTTAAAAAGTAACTCATCTCCTTGAAGCATCTACCTTTGCTCCTCTGGTGTTTTTTTTTTTTTTAGCGGTTAGAGTAACTTCTCCTTTCTTTGGTCTATTAGCCACCAGAATGCTAAACTTTGATATTCTTTGTCATATGATCGTTATTCTGTTTTTGGTTTGAATATCAAATCAGTCTAATTTACCATTATAGTGGAGTAGTCCACATTTATGAATCTGCTGTTTGTAATTCTTTTTATACTTAAAAATGACAACTTAAAAAAGCGCCAAATATTTTAACTCCAATTGTTCTTGACAACTTCTTAGCAACAGGACCCAAACCATTCCTCAGCAAACAACTATTTAAGTGCTTATCACATTCACAAAAAGAGTTTTATCCCAAAAGTTTTATTTATAATTGGTAACCAGTTATCCAAGCTTCTATTGTGTTATTCTGTTGAAAGCCTAACACAGAGGTCCCCAACCTTTTGGGCACCAGGGACCGGTTACACCGCAGACTGGAGGAGGTGTGATTTTGTGTGGTGCTTGCATTCCACGGATGGGGCTTTGCTTGTTTGTGCGACCCGGTTGCTGGCATGCGGTATTTTGTGTGGTGCCTGCATTCCATGGATGGGGCTTTGCTTGTTTGTGCGACCCGGTTGCTGGCATGCCGTGGACAACTAGGGGTTGGGGACCCCTGGCCTAACACATTTATTACACCATATACTTTTGAGGATTAAAAAGAGTTTCTTAAATGCTTTTTATATATGAAGATTATCAGTTTACAACATGAAGCACATGATATATGCAGTGCAATGTGAGAAAATTGCAGACCCCTACACTGAGGAAACAAAACCACCACTTAATGAATGCATGGCACAACTAAGAGAACAAACTTATCAGGAAAGAGTCAGGGAATCCAACTGCATCTAAAAGACAAAGGCCACTCTTTTGAAAACAGCAATTTCACATTCTGGACAGAGAAGACCACTGGTTTGAAATAGGGGTCAAAGAGGCCATTATGTTAAAATTGAACAGCCCTCTCTCAACAAAAGGGGAGGGATATGACACCACCTATGTCTTGTTTACTGCACACTCCTTTCAGCAGTCCCAAGAAGGTTCCACACTCATTTGCACTCCACTCAGGTGGACTCTCAGAGAGCTAATGACCAGATGACTGCAAAGATTATGAATCCTTCCATTCTCCACTAGGTCAGTTAGAACTAAAGAAGCTTCTTTGATGAGAAGGGAAATGTTTTCAAAAAACCCCCAAGAAAGTTCAGTTGTCTTTTGGGAGGGAAAAGTGCCTTTGGGACCATCGTGATCCAGATGAGCATAGACATAAAGCATATATAAATACATCAGTCAGAATTATATCTTATACTACGGTATAAAAATGGATTTCCAACTCAAGACGGTGTTTTTTTAGAAGATTAGTACAAACACATCAGAGTAAATTGCATTAGAGAATTATCAGGTTCAAGACATTTCCTCAAAGCCTGTTTGTTAATCACTGTTTGGCTCAGGTGATTAGAATTTAGTCATGGAGATGAAAGTTAAACCATTGACATAGAGCAAGACAAAATCTGAAAGTAATCCGACAATATTGCAAAACCACAATTCTTTACTAATAAATGCAGTACAGCATTCCCACATAGAAGTTGAAATTTTAATTGTGTAAATTCCATAAGATAGAGGCCTCAGTTTGTTTATACAGTAAGTACTACTTTTTAAAAAGCCATTTTGTTCATAATACTAAAATAGGCATATTTGTTAAGGAACTGATTGTGCTTGGTTCACAGATTAAAACTGGAGAGTTCACATATAGTAATCTAAAATCAAATCCCAGTATAGTTTAGCAACATGTGAACTTTATTGTGAATATTTGAATATTTATTATACTGATGGTAAGGTGGCTGTAGGGCTGCAATCTTACTGGTGCTACATTTTAAAAAATAAAAACATATTATACAGGAACAAAGTCCTTTTGCATTTTCATACAAACTGCCTGCTTTTTAAAATTAAAAAGGAACAGAGACAATGTGAAACAGAGTGAAGCAGCACTTGAACAAAAATGACAGGACTGTCTTCTCTAATTCAATACAGTGTACCAAGAACAAGGACTTTGAGGCTATATATCCTGCAGTTCCCTTGTCTAACTGTGAAACTAGTCAAATCAAAAGGCATGCTGAAAATTAAATTAGAAAAGCTACCTGGCACCTTTCCTAGCAGAGTTGTGAAATTGACTATGGAGAAACTTGTCATTTATAGCCCCTACTATAAGTATGGCTTGCAAACTTCTTTCATTAGGGTAACAGCCAGAGTATTAGAACGGACTGAAAAAAATACTGATTAAAAAGAGTTGGCGAGGAAGGGTGGTATAAAGCAGCCCGGGGCCCTGAGAGTCCCCCAATTTCCCCCTCGACACCGCCTCCGATCCCAACTACTGAAAAATAAGGCCTCGTTGAGGCGGGACACCGACGCAGCCCTAATGGCCCCTCGCACTCAACAACCCAAAAGGCGAATCTACCTGGCCCCGCGCAGAGAGGCACAGCATTTTGGCCCTTTCCCGTCTGCATTTCCAGGTTTTGGGGTTTTTTTTTTCCAGATCCGGAAAGGTCCTTGGCGCTTTGGCATCCTTCTCCCCCATCCCGCGCAGCTGCGGTTGCAGGAAAGGACGCGGAGCGCTCGAGAGAAGCATCGGAGAAGAGCGGCCAAGCGGCCTCCTTGCAGCCCTGGGAAAAAGGAGTCGCAGACCAGCGGGGCGAAAGATAACATAATCTTTATTGTCATTTTTTTTACTGAGGGCACACTGGCACACAATAAAAATTACATTCTGTTGCCTGCTCTCAAAAGTGTACGCATACACAACGCACATAGACATGCTATATACACACTAATTACATATAAATATTAATCACAGGGAAGGAGGCCGAGAGGCTGAGCGCGAAGGGGAGCCTTCCGTTTCGGGCTTGTTTGTTCAATTGATGCTGAAAGCAGCCCATCTCACCCTGTGATTTTTTTTGGGAGGGGGGCGACTCCGGCGGACGCCCAGGCAGAAGGCTGCAGCGCCAGACGCTCATCGAGATTAAAGCCCCAGGTAAAAGACACAATTGTGCCAAAAAAGGAGTTACAGAAAGATGTTTTGAGCGAATGGATTACGCCCTTTCCTCCAGTTCACCTCCCGTCCCCCCCGTGGGACTGCAACTTATGAGCTGCAACAATCCGGACCGCCGCTGCTTTGCTGCCATCTCGCGGTCGTCCGTTGTAGCCCTGATTTGGTACCCTTTAACCTTGTCCCTTACGTAATATGGCCGTCGCTTGTTCTGGGTTTTCCTATCCACACTCTTTTTTCTGCCAGTATGTTTTTTTTTTTCAAAGTGAAAAACAAGAGCCTGCGAGATAATAATAATAATAATAATAAAAAAGCCTCACTACCCTCTTTTGCAGTTCCGGCGGACTATAAAATACACAAAAGGAGGGGGAGGGAAACAAATTATTGCGCATGCGCCCAATTACCTCGAAGCATTGGGCTTTTCTTCCTGTGTCTCAGTCAAGCCGAGAGCCCTCCCCCCCCACCACTGACCTCATTTTTTTCCGCTTTCCACCTATCATTGAACTACAAGTATGTCACGTGCCTCTGCGGTCACGTGGGACGAGGTTCCATTTTGTGGCGTAGTTAACGCTCGACCCGCACAGTCGAGGGGAGGACGTCGTCGGAGGCGGTTGCTGGTCCGTCTTTGTCCGTTGACACCTTCATTTAAAATAATAAAAAAAAACCCGAGAACAGACGATCGTAAGTGCCTGTCTATTCAAATTTAATGGGCGATCCAGGAGAGTAGCTTGGGAGAGAGAGAGAGACGGTTGCATTATATAAGTATGGTTGAGTTGGGAGAGAAGCTTAAACTTCGTTTAAACCGTGAGCGTGTGTGAGTGATTACATTTTCTTTTAACAAAAAAAGCTAGGAGACGGCGTGGAATGTTGGGTGCGGCCGCGCCGCCATTTCGTGAAAAGTAATCAAAAGGGCTCGGATTGATGGGCGGTCGTGCGCAAGGCGCATGCGCAGCTCCCCGTAACTTCGTTTTGGCTGCTTAGGCTGCCTCGAGAAAGGCGAAACCGAGGTGGCGTTTTCCAATTGGACCGAAGGGAAGCGGAACTCGGCGTCGGGTTGGAGCGATCGGTGGGCGGGGCTTTGGGACCTGCGTGGGTTCTGCCTTTCCTGATGTCAGACTGCGGCAGCGGAGGAGGGGGCGGCGGCGGAGGAGGTACTGCGGCAATGAATCGAGCTGGCGATGCCAGCAGCTGCTGATCCTTTTGGGCGGCGGCCATCTTTTTTTTTTTTAGGCTTGATTTGCCGACTTGAAATTTTTTCGTTATTTTTTTTTCCCCCTTTAACTTTCTTCTTCTCTTACAGCTACTCAAAGCGGTACCATGAGTGGTTGTCGTGTATTCATCGGAAGGTTGAATCCAGCCGCCAGAGAGAAGGATGTAGAGAGATTCTTTAAGGGATATGGACGCATCAGAGACATTGATTTGAAGAGAGGTTTTGGGTTTGTGGTAAGCAGTACGAAAAAATGCTTCGTGCAAGCAGCACTGATAGCGATGAAATTGATGGCTTCCTATGGGGAAAAGGGCCTAAGGTGGTTTTGGGCAGCCCAATTCAGACCCATTGGTCTTTTAAGTATATAAGAATTATCTTTGCAGTGGCAATACACTTTGTAATATGTAGACCTGATAGTTTAAAAAAAAAAACCCTGTTACAATGCAGTTCTTAATAATTTTTCTCAGAAAGGGAGTTGGGATTTGGGAATAAATTCAACGGACCAAAACATATGCTGCCTGTTCTGTGCCTTGTAAGAAACTTGAAACAGTAACCAGAGAGAGCATTCAGTAAATTGCTGATGCATTATTTTATTTAACAGGAGTTTGAAGATCCCAGAGATGCTGATGATGCGGTCTATGAATTGGATGGAAAAGAGCTCTGCAGTGAAAGGTAACATTTCATAACCCTTTGATTGCATTTGGATGCTTTGTATATGTTTTATTGTATGCTTGACAATAACAGTGCTAAAAAACAATCTTTGCAAATATATTTGACTCCAGTATGTTCAGGTAGGCCTACTTGGTCTGAAACTGGAATAATTCATTTTCTCATGTTAATGTCACATAGGATGTGACGTTATGATGGACTGTTGCATTATAAATAGGTGTATTGCTTTCTAGAGTTACAATTGAACATGCTAGAGCCCGCTCTAGAGGTGGAAGAGGCAGAGGGCGTTATTCTGATCGTTTTAGCAGCCGCCGTCCACGAAATGACAGAAGGTAAATATGCAGAGAACATAGCTGATGCTCCGTTTAACTTTTTGTAGGCATAATTAACGAATTAACATCTTGTTTTTGCTAGAAATGCACCACCTGTCAGAACAGAAAATCGTCTCATTGTAGAAAATTTGTCTTCTCGAGTCAGCTGGCAGGTTTGTTAAACATGATTATCTTAGACTTCGTTTAATGGGTATGTAATATGTAAATTTTTTTATTAAGACTAGTTTTTATCTTAAATTTAAAACATTTTATCAAAATTTATTAATTAATGTTTAAATGCATTGTTCAAAAGTAGTTTAATAGTATTTTCAATGTAATTTTGCCTTGTTTTAAAAATCCATTTTAACCACTTTAAAAATCCATTTTATTTGCCAGCCTATCTGTGTCGTTGGCCTTATGACGAGGAGTGCCTGTGGGTTATCCTAATCGTTCTGTCTTGGTCACTCTTGGTTGGGCCTGGTTGACTTTTCCAGTCAGCTCCTCCAGTGTATCAGTTGGCCACCTCTAGATCTGTGTTTGCCGGTCTAGACGTAATCGATGCACTTCCTTAAAGTGCCGGGTTGCAGCGATCCCCGAAAGTTAACGAGATCTGATTCCTAAGTTGAGAACTGTACCTCCTGTAACGCTTCGAAATAAGAGATCGTGATCGAGCGAGTTGAAAGATACGCATTAGGTGGTCCTTGGAATCCTGATCGCAGTAAAGTGATCCTTGGTGTAACTTCACAAGAGTAGAGAATGTCTGGATCCATCAGTAGTCTGCTAATAGGGAGGGCTGTGCGATTAAAGGCTTCCATCGACTGGGTAGTTCTCTTCAAATGGTTGGCGAAGAGCCAGTCGGGCATGTACCGTGGTGGTATCTTCGATCGCTTAATGCAGTTTGCTGCTTGGCTAGCCTAGGGAAATGTTAATAAAGGTAAAGTAAACTATATTTTTAATGACATATGGGGCACAAAATAACTGGTTTTTGTTTTGTAAATTGTGCTGTTTAGTTGTAAGACATTTCAGAATGCTTTCGTACAATAAACTGTCTTGCATTCAGTTGTGTAAAATGTATAGACAAATAACTTATGATTTGAGCATTTTGCTTAAAGCAATATGCTGTTTTCATTTATTTCGTGCCCTGATATATTCTATCAAATACAAGTGTGGCATCTGCCACGTTTTAATTGTTAACATCTTTTTTTGCAGTAATAATTTTTATTATTGATAAGCATTGTCTACCTCCTTTATCTAACATACTTAATCTTGTGATAGGATCTCAAAGACTTCATGAGACAAGCTGGGGAAGTAACATTTGCAGATGCACACAGGCCCAAACTAAATGAAGGGTAAATATCTTAGAGCAGTCATAATATATTACAAAAGATAATTTGGGGGAAGGAATCTCCAAAGTAGATTTTTTTTAGAAGTTTAAGCATTGATAGTTTAATATATAAGCTGTATTATTTTTTTTAATTAGGGTGGTTGAGTTTGCCTCTTATAGTGATCTAAAGAATGCCATTGAAAAACTTTCTGGCAAGGAAATCAATGGAAGGAAAATCAAACTAATTGAGGGCAGCAAAAGACACAGGTAAGAACTCAGCTAAGATATGCTTGTGTATATATACACAGTTGTAGTCAGTGTAAACCTAACCTAACATGGATATTTACCTTTCTTAGTAGGTCCAGAAGCAGGTCTCGCTCCCGTAGCAGGAGCTCTTCAAGATCCCGTAGCCGCTCTCGGTCCAGAAGCCGCAAGTCTTACACCAGATCCAGGAGCAGGAGCCGTAGCAAATCACGATCAGTTAGTCGATCTCCTGCCCCTGAAAAAAGTCAGAAACGTGCTTCTTCCAGTAGATCAAAGTCTCCTGCTTCTGTGGATCGCCAGAGATCACGCTCAAGGTCAAGATCTGTAGATAGTGGCAACTGAATTGTGCAGGTTGCCTTGGAACTTTTAAATCATACTTGCTAATAGTTGTGGTAAGTATGTGACTTTTGGGAAAGGGACTGAACCAGGGGGAGGAGAGGGTTGTAACAACTTTGTAAATGTGGACCATCAGAAAGTTACTGAACTAATTGTATTCTCTTTTTGATAAATCTTTTTCTTGCTCACTTCATTAAATCAGAAGTGCATAGCTTTATGTATATTGCTAGAGTTCTTTGAAGAAACTAATTTTTTTGTATTTAAAAAAAATCTAATTCTGAACATTTTCTCAGTATACTCTAGTAATTAAAATTTGGGATGTTAAATGTTTTAAATTGGTTAATTGAGTTTTACACCAGCTGTAAATAAAGCTTTATTTCAGGTTTTGGGAATAATTCCCAAGTATTTGTTTGCTGCCTTGGCCATATTTCCAAACATACTGGTCAAAACTCACAATAAAGCTATTTAAAAAAATGTGGTTTTTCTTTTCAAAGCTGTGGGAGAGCTGTATTTTACATGAGCTTACACTTAGATGTTATCTTACCTTTCAGAAATAGGGTTATAAAGCATAGAGACAGCTGGAAAGCTGTGCCTCTCCTTAACTTACTAGACATGGTATAGCAACGTAAAACCTTTTTCTAAATGTTCCTTTCCTGTGGTGATATATTTCGTAGCATATTCTACTGTAATGCAATCTACAATTTCTACTTACAGTTGGTACTTTTGCAGTGGAATACAGTAGTACTTTGCAGGTAATGAAAGGTTCATGAAGTAATGGTATAACATTGTGAACATATACATGTAACTGAGATGTTGTCTTGGCTTACTGCAGCCAGCCCTGAAATGAAGATAAGTAGTCTAGGTAAATTAACTGGCATTTTAGTGTAACTTGCAAACAACAATAGAATTGTTAACAGCTGATTTGCAGGACATAACTAGGATAAAAACTGTTTAGGTAATTTTAAGTGCTCTGTTGTGAAATGAAGATAAAGATAGGTCATTTCAATTATTTCAAGTGACTCAGCTGTGTGAGTAGTGATTACACCAACAATTTAATATGGCACAGTTGGCTATGGCAGTAGTTTGCTAACCTGGCTTCTGTTTAATGTGCTCTATGAATATACCTCCAGTCAGAAATACAGCACTTGTGCCAAGCTTTTTCAATGTTGATATTCATGTAATAAAGTAATTGGCCAAGCATGTACTAAATGCAAATATTTTTACAGGTGTCATAAGAAGTATAACATGACCATATTCTTCCATATCAGAAGACACACCCCCCCCCAATAATCAAAGAACCCTTAATGCAAAGCTCACTTTTTCCAAAGGATATATTTACAAGGCCTGCACTTTATCTTTTATGGTAAAACTAAAGAATTAAATGTGATTTGCCTACTTTTATGGAATTCATATGCTGCTATTAATCCATTGCAAGGCATGTGCAATCAAAAATAGTTGGTACAGAGTTCTTTATCTCTTGGGTTGGAGGCCCTGATTGCATTAATTAAAAGTGATACTGCTTTCTATGGACCAAGTTTTTCACATTTTCTGATTTTGTACAGCTTTCAGTGTATGCTCTGGTTAGTGAGCTTTGATGGTGTCTAGTCATTTCTACCTTTCCCAGCAAATTTTGATTGCATGACATGAGATGGGTGAAAGGTGGATTTTTTTTTACTTTTGCCTTCTAGCAAGCAGTGTCGGGGCCTCTTCAAAATCATATTTTGGGGGCTCTGCCATTCTGATGGGGAGACGGAAGTTTGATTCTATTGGGAGGGGGGGCTCACGGATGTATTTATTTTGCTTTCACTACCTTTGATGTATCACTGGGTGTGAAGAGGGGGAGGAATGTACCAGGAGTCCTTGTAAAAGGAAGACATTTTACAATGTCTTTTTCATTTTGCCATCTGTTATCATTCTGGTTCCCATACCCTCTGTTCTGTTTTTGGGAGTACCAGTTGAGGCAGGACCTTACATTGTATGTCTGGGTTTTGCATGTTCCAATAATAGTCAAGAAAAGGCAAAGCATTTCTAAAATGGCAAGCTGTTAAAAACAATGTACTTAAAACAGCTTAATAGGTACCTTATAACTTTCCTCCAAATAAATTTTTCACTGGCATTTAAACAATTTTGCAACAATCAAAGCACGTATTCAGAAGTAAGTTTTTAATAGTGATTTTCAGTGATCGCCTATCAGTATTTTCATTTGGGCTGGCTACTTCAGTGATTTATTGTAGATTTTTATAAGAATGGGCCTAACAGTAAATGGAGCAATATGAGCTTGCAAATATTAGGAGAAAAAGGAAGTACAGGGTTCTATGCATACTTGGTAGTTAATACAATGAAGCATAAATAAAGAGGGCAGCTGCTGCTTGAATCTGTTATGAACTATATTGTGTTAAGATGCAAATGGAAGATGGCAGCCCGAAAAAAAAACTGGGCCAACTGCAGGTTCCATAACAACTGGGCTCACCCTCAGCTTTTGTAATTTGTAAGACGTTTTATTGCATTATCCAAGCCAATTGCAATGTTATCCATCCAGTGAACCATATATGAATGGAGTTCGCCTGCTGCGGGTGTTTTGGGAATACCTCATGTTTTGGTATTCACATCCTAATATTTATGATCCGGGCTGGCTATCTCTGCTTAGATAAAAAGGTCAGGTACGGTCACGAGCCTAATATATAAGGATGGATGCTGAAGTATCCTATTGTGTATAAAAATTAGAACGGGAACCAGCAGTGGAGGATTCGGTAGGATTACAAATTACACAAGGCAAACATGGCTGGGCAGTCACGGAAAATCAATCCCTTGCGCTTGTGAGGTACTTGAAGAGTTAGGCAATATTCTTCCGTCTGCTGAGTAAAAGTACAGTATTGGTATTTGCGACAACTGTTAAGGATAACAGCCATGCAAATTCGAATGGCTCCGAGAAAGCAAAAAAGAGCTGGCGTTTCTGTGTCTGCTGCCATCTAGTGGTCGGTTATTTGTTACCCAAACCTAATCGCCTTAAAGATTAAACGACTCCATTTTCACAGGACGGGAAACCAAATTCTCTTTTCTAAAAATTGGGGACTCTTTGCTCTCTGTATAACACCTCTGCTACGGGTGGCATAAGAGGCTGTGTCATGTGAATAGCGAGGAAAAAAGACCGTCAAGGTGAACGAGAAACCAGTTCTTACCCTAAAGGACAAGGTCACTTGCACGCTTTTGATCTATTTCGCCCCACCTTTTGCGGCTCTGTTTTGGAGAAACGGGGTGGGGTCGTTTTTGGTGTCAGCGCAGCCCAGTCCCTTGAAGCTTTTTCCTTCCATACCTTAAAGACATCTAACCTGTTTGATCTCAGCCTAATTTATCCTAGCCCAGCTAGTGGGCATCCCCGCTGACCTTGGCTGATCTCGGAAGTTAAGCAATCGGATCAGCCTCGGTTAACATCTGGATGGAATTCCACCAGGGAACACCAAGGCTGCAGGCTAGGCTTGTAGGAAGGGGGGAAAGAGGGAAACAACGGCAAACACAGATCCCGAAGTCACCGCGGAGCCTGACTGGAAAAGCAGTCTGAGCTGCAAAAATCCGCACGATCCAGCGAAAACAGAACGAAAAGGTTCTCCGCAAATCAAGAACTCGGATGTGACGGTATCCATAAAAGAAACTTCACCCTCTTTTTTGTTGTTTACATCATAATAACAAGCAGGTAAAACAGGCTGAACATCATATACATATATGTATATGGTCAATGCACATCCCGGAAATTTTCCAGAGAGATGGTGCAGATGAAATCTGAAAGGTGGGTGGAGAGGAATAATTAGAACTGGTTGGGTAATGGATCAAATTGATATTTCTAGGACATTAGGTGTTATTGCCCAGTCTCTAAAAACAGAGGCTCTCACCCACTTTGAAGGGATTTCCAGGGCTAAGCCCTAGAATGGAAGCATTCCATTTTGGATTACATTATTATAGAACTGAAATCACTAGCAGTGTTATTGTTCCTTTGAGTACGTGCAAAGGGCATTTACAAGATGTTCTTGTCCAGTAATAGAAACTTGACATATATTTGGCAGATGTGCAAGAGTTTTCAATTTGAAGGTGAAGCAATACAAATATAGTCCTCTACTTACAGCAATTCATTTAGTGACCGTCCAAGGTTACAATAGCACTGAAAAAAGTGACTTATGACCGTTTTCATATTTACAACCATTGCAGCCTCCCCATGGTCATGTGTTCAAAATTCAGATGACTGGCAACTGATCCATATTTAAGATGGTTGCAGTGTGTCCCGGGTCATGTGATCACCTTTTACAAACTTCTGGCAAGCAAAGTCAATGGGGGAAGCCAGATTCACTTAACAACCATGTTACTAGTTTAACAACTGCAGTGATTCACTTAACAACTGTGGTAAAAAAAAGTTGTAAAATGGAACAAAAATTACTTAAATGTCCCATTTAGCAATAGAAATGTTGGGCTCAATTGTGATTGTAAGTTGAGGACTACCTGTAGGCACTACAAATAAGTACGTGTTGCATTTTTGCCTGCCATGTACGGTATTTATTTGGATGGTTTAGATTCCACCTTTAAATCTAATGAGTTGCTAGGATTACCACACCTTTCTCGTGACATTTATTTCCCCTGGCACATACAGTATCTTCCACAGACTGATACTGCATGTGTCTTGGCCAAAATGTGTTTCTACACTGAAACCTAAAGGTGATCTTTGGCTCCTCCTAAGAGCAGGAAGGATGTCCCTGGCCCTGCCAGTGACCAACATCGGAGTCAGTTCCCTTTTACAAATTAAATCTAAACCACATATATAATTTGTGGATATATAAATGAGAAATATAGGAGCCTCATGTTGTTGCATCAGATGGCCTAATAAAGTTTAAGTGGCAGGTTTCTTCAGTTATTGGTCTTATAAACAGCAAGCAGTAGTTTACGCCTTGGCAATAACATTCTAGAAGTTGAAGTCCACATATTGAAAAAGTAGAAAAATACTGGTTTAGGGCAATTTAATATAAGGAAAGTCATTTTTCTTGGCAAAAATATAGAAGTGATTTGTCACTTGTCTTTTATGGATTTTCAGTCTTGCCTGTATTTTGGAATTTCTTAATAGATGTTGATTAAAGCAGCGCCCTTTAAAGCTATAGTCAAAATGGATTTTGTTGAGAAGCTTTGAAATTCCTATACTGTATTTTTTTTAAAGGAACCAAACATAACAAAAATAGCTGCAAAGTTGGTATAAACAAAGGAAAAACAGATCTGAAATAAGCAGGATTGTATCATTTGGGCTAGTATTAAGAAACTGTTCTTTCATCAAGGCACAATAGGGTAACGTACTTAGTGCTAAGTTGTCCATCCGATTGTCTAAAACTGGTCTCCACATACTTTATGATCTGTAGAATGAAAACATATACAAAGAAGTAGAGGTATTTAGTGTATGAGGACATGTGTATTTCCAATAATAATAATAA